GAGCGTTTACAGAGGGAAAGAAGATAACAGAGGCACTCCGTGTGGCTTCAAGAAATCACTTTATGACAGGATGTGGAAAAAGTGAGACAAATATCGGAAGGAATGAAAAGAATGATTCTGAGGGAAAGGAGCAACTGAAACACAGAAGCAGAAGGAAGAAGTGAAGAGAAGTGTGGGGAGAACTAGTACAGAACCTAACAAACTGAAACACAGAAGCAGAAGGAAGAAATGAAGAGAAGTGTGGGGAGAGCTAATACAGAACCTAACAAGTATGGTAAGTACTCTCCAGCAAAACAATGAAATGACAACAGTGTAATCTTGATACTGGACAACCAGCTGGGCTGAGGACAGCAGGGACTAGAAATAAAGAATGAATAAAAATACCCTCGACTTGAAATCATTCAACTGTGAAAGAAATAAAGAATGAATAAAAATACCCTCTACTTGAAATCATCCAACTGTGAAAGTGTGTTTCTAACACTTTACCCTCATCCTACCTCCTTCATTCTCTCTTGTAGTATCTTGTTTTAAATTATGCCTCAATGCTGCAATTTCCTTTTTGCTGCAATCAATGGAGCTATTCATGTGTACACAGGTGAACATGCATATGTATATGCAGAATCAGGGACTTAGGTTGTAACTCTTCAGAGAACCGACTATCTTTTAGCACGTGTTTGTACAGCACCCAGCATAGTGGGCTGTGCTGGAGCACCACTAGGGGCTGCTCTAACTTACAACATTGGGCTGTGATCCTGGAGATGTGCTCCGCCCCACTTCTTATATTCTCCCTCCTACTCCTGAAGTAGAGTGTCCAAACTTTTTTCAAAGAGGGCCAGATTTGATGAAGTGAACATGCGTGAGGGCCGACCATTTTGCCTGACATTCTTTGAACCATTAAAATTAAATGCAAATTAACTATTTTATGCAAAGTTTATTGCAAACGGCATACTTTTCATTTCGTCACATGGATGACAAATCTAAACAGGTGTTAAATCACTCTGCCTTTCATATCTGAAGGCCAGATGAAAAAAAAATCCAGGAAGCTGAAATATATGTCAGGAACATTGTAAAGTACATTACATATTATTGGTAATAAAGGTTGTCTGTCAACTTTTAAGTTCAAAAAATATGAACAGGAACATAACACCAAGTATGTTCCAAGTATATTTAACTCATTTAGACCAACTGACATTAACTGAGATTTTACAATGTATTCATCTCAATACATATGGATTCGTTGGGGGCCATAAAAGATAGATATTGCCAAATTACCTGGGGGGCCGTATTAAACCGGAACACGGGCCGCAATTGGCCCGCGGGCCGGACTTTGGACATGCCTGGCATAGGAGCTAGCTGTGCCTGGTGGGGGAATTATCAACTAGAGAGTGTTTCACTGTTACTGCCTGAGTGGCACATAAGAATCAGATGGCATAAAAGAACAAGACCTTCTGTCATCAGCTTGTTGTCTGGGCAGGGAAGCACAGGAGAGTTAAATGGAGACTCACGTTCTCTTGTACGCTTTCCAGATCTACACATACACCGAAAGTTGGAAACCAAACAAAGAACTCCATGTCGTCTAAAAGACTCTGTGCCCTCTTCCAGAGGGTGGTCCATATGAACTATATTTAAGATTTTAAAGCCTTGAGCTCTGACCAAAATAAAAAGTATAGAATAAGAGAGTCTTAGTGAACTAGTCTCTACAACTCCCCTGTACAGCTTAAGTAAGGTTCTTGCACAATGACTTTATTAATAGGTTCTGAATGCCCCTAAGGTGCAGGCTCAGCTGGGGACATTTTAACCCATTATTGCTTAAAAAGCAATCTATTATAAAAGGCTATACATTTCTGCCACAGCCAGTTGCCTGGGTCTGACTTCCAGTGACCTATCAGCTTGCATGTGCAGTGCAGTCTCAGCTATGTCTTGTGGAAACCCTATCTAGAACATAACATCAGCCTATAGGAGACCCATAAATCCTGGATTATTGGGTTGTCTTTTTCCCTGTGTCCTTTTTATTATTACTACCACCTAAGGGGCAAAACAGTAATAAACTTTATTTTGAAACAAATTTGAGATTTTACTAACTCTCTCATCTGCTGCTATGAATGAACAAACACGAAATTGAAAGCAAAGCTGAGCCTTAATGTCTTGAATTAATTCTGATATAAATCCAAACATGATCACAGCCATGAGAGGTAAACCATAAGCCTTTAAGAGCAGCAGGCTCCACAAAATGTAGCATTTATAACCACTACACTGTGATAATTTCCAAGATCTAATTATAGCAGAACACACTTATATCACGTGCTAAGGGATTAGTGGCACTACAGTTTTTTGAAATACAGATGTCAAGTCTTAGTCGCTTGGGCTATGTCTACACTATAAGTTTTTTCTTAGCAGAAAATATGCAAATGAAGGACTCATTTGCATAAGTCACTCTCATTTGCATATTTTCTGCAAATCCATTTTTGCGCTGTGGTTTTGCGTAAAAATGAGCAGCATGGATGTTTTCTTTGTGCACGAAAACTTCTTTTTCTGCAAGATCCTTATGCCCCTGGGTATCTAACAATGGAAGGGCTCTGAGTCTGTCGACAGAGCAGAAGACAGGTTGAGATGTTGCCTTGTCATATCTTGGTGTGAAGTCCTTCATAAAAGATTATTAGGGACTTGATTCTCCTATTACACCAGTGTTATGCAAGCACAATGCCATAGATTTCAATGGGGTTGTGCTGTTATCAAAGGGCGTAGTGCAGAATGGAGAATCAGGCCTACTTAAATATAAGAGAGACAGTAGCATGGCAAAAATTACACATACTAGCCTCCTGTTCACAGGTTCTTAGGAGGCGGGAAAATATTAATGCAGAAGAAAAGGGTAGTTCGAGCTTGGGGTTCTGTGATTTTGTGTGTTTTTACCTAGCTTTACAAATGTCACGCTGTCTGTGTCAGGAGGCATGAATGACAAAGGGATCCCAGGAAGTTTAACAAGAAATCTTTTCTATTAACAGCCGACATTTGGTATGGTACTTGAGACATTTGAAGGCATATTCAGAGGCTATTCTGTCTTACTTGGGTTTCCACCTCTCCTCTTCTCTACTGCTGATTCAGCCTTTTGCTATTTTTAAAACTTTCACTGTAAAAACTACATGCAACATAATAGTGCAGCATCTGGGTTCTGGTACTGCCAGAAATGGTGCGGGCCTTCCCCTTCTGACAAGGCCACACTCCCTACCAGTGTGACTCATGGAAATACCATGTGTCTGAGGTCATGCCGCACAGGGGTTTCATTTTTAAGACCTACCTGTTTTCTCCTTGGACACATGTGGTGCGACCCCACGCACATTTTAAGGATGACTTACCTTAAAAATGGCATTCCTCTATTTGATATCAAACAAAAAGCCACCCAGATTTTGGCTGAGTAGTGAAAAGACGACAGGCTGTAGAAAAGCAGGACTGTCTGGTTTGATATGGCATGAATGGCTTGCCTACCAACACTGTGTTCGCTAGGATCCTGAGTGAATCGTGTCTGGGTGCAGCTTTCTGACTAGGACTGGAAAAAAGAAAATTCTTATGCCCAACTCCTCAAACATACTGAGGCATTCTCAGCATTGCAACACCTAGCCACTAGGTGGCCTTCCACCTCATGTAATCCTCAGCCCTGAGTTAGGTGCCCAGGATCACTGCACTGTACAGTGCCTAAGGGAAAGGCTTCTCAGAAGTTAAGCAGTTCCCTGCTTAGCTAGCTAAATTAGCCAGGAGTGTAAATGCAGAGATAGGTTCCTCCCTCTCTGTTCAGGATTCTGTTGCGAACCTTCTTGTTGTCAAAAGGTAAAATGTCATTCTATTGAGAGAAGGATTTGCACGAATTGTTTTCACCTGCTGGTCATCCCAGGTTAAATAAAATAATAATTAAAAATGCAAGCAGTCCTAATCTGTGATTGTATAATGTCTGTGGGTGAATTTATAAGAACATAAGAATGGCCGTACTGGGTCAGACCAAAGGTCCATCTAGCCCAGTATCCTGTCTACCGACAGTGGCCAGCACCAGGGGCCCCAGAGAGGGTGGGCCAAAGACAATGCAGAGGCCAAGGACACCATTTTATCCCCTGGCTAATAGCCTTTTATGGACCTAACCTCCATGAAATTATCTAGCTTCTCTTTAAACTCTATTATAGTCCTAGCCTTCACATCCTCCTCTGGCAAGGAGTTCCACAGGTTGACTACACGCTGTGTGAAGAAGAACTTTCTTTTATTAGTTTTAAACCTGCTCCCCATTAATTTCATTTGGTGTCCTCTAGTTCTTCTATTATGGGAACTAATAAATAACTTTTCTTTATCCGCCCTCTCCACACCACTTATGATTTTATATACCTCTATCATATCCCCCCTCAGTCTCCTCTTTTCTAAACTGAAAAGTCCCAGTCGCTTTAACCTCTCCTCATATGGGACCCGTTCCAAACCCCTAATCATTTTAGTTGCCCTTTTCTGAACCCTTTCCAAGGCCAAAATATCTTTTTTGAGGTGAGGAGACCACATCTGTACACAGTATTCAAGATGTGGGCGTACCATAGTTTTATACAGGGGCAGTAAGATATTCTGGGTCTTATTTTCTATCTCTATCCTAATAATTCCTAGGCATGTACTTAATTATAAGCATGTACTTTGTATGAGTACTGAATATTTCTCTATATGTGGCTGAGTAATGGGCCAGTAATGTTTGCCTGTTAACATGCTAATGAGCAAGTCTCCAGGGAACAATGGATCTCTGGAGGCCAAAGACACACCTGGCCACTGACCATGTGACTCTAGCCAGTTGAAAGAAACCTGGAAAGAAGGGATAAATATGCCATATGGCTGACTCCATCTTGGTCTTCAGATCTGCTTCTGACCCCAGATGCAACCTCGCAGGGAATCACGAGCCGGGAAGAACTGTGGACCCATCCTGCCATAGGATGTGCAACAAGGACTTTTAAGCCAGCAGCTATAACATCTCTGCTAGAGCCTGCATCGAGAACTGGGAGATTCGATTCATGTAATGTATGATACTTTAACATCCTTACTCTCATGCTTTTCTTTCTTGTAGCAATAAACCTTTAGATTGTAGATTTTAAAGGATTGGCTCAGCATTTGGTTTGGTTTGTGGGTAAAATCCATAGAGTAAATCGTCCTGGGGTCTGTGGCTGGTTTCTTGGAACTGGACAGAACTTGTTCAGGGTAGGTGAGGTTGGGTGCTAAGACCCCTCACCTGTATATGAGGCCCGGGGCCATCTGGGGCACGGATATTGCTGGGTTGTCAGAGGGGTTTTGCTCGTGAGGCTTCAAGCAGACAGCCGAAGCGCTCTGTGGGACTGGTTTGCGGCCTATTTGGGAAGGTCTCCAGTCTGGGGCTGTAAGGAGCCCCGAATTTGAGCAATTTGCCCTGAGTGGACGCCCTCAGCTGTGCCCAGACCCGGCCCGGTCCGTCACACTTCTTCTTAGGGGAGGGGTACTGAACTGCACCTCCCCTTATCCCTGTCTATGGCCCCTCACTGACCCAGGCTGTGGAGCCCCAGGTATGGGGCCAGCTGCACAATACGAGGGCCCTAAACTTAGGGTGGGGTTTTACAGCACCCCCACACCTCTGCTTCCAGTACCTATTGTACCTTGAAGCTTGTTTTCATTTGTGCTGGGGGAATATCAAATTCACTGTATAAATAGGTTAGAAATAATGTCGTGAACATTGTAATACTGAGTAACTTCATAGGACAAGAAAACACATTGCTGTTGGGAAAAGGTGGTAACATTTTTATCTACTGGAAATACACTGTCAGGTGTTTTAGAGCTGATTGGCCAACAGGGGTTTCCTATCTTTTGTAAGATTTTAATTCTAATTATTACTTTCAAAGTTTTCTTTTCTTTTTTTAAGCTAGTGCCAAAACAAATTTGTTTTCGAATTTGTTAGTTATTCCATGGTTTAAAATTATGTTTGAGGGGAAACTCAATTACTTTAGATTTAATAATTTTTTTTAACAAGAAATACAAATTATGAGTGCATATTCTTGATTGCGCTCAATTACTTTAGATTTAATAATTTTTTTTAACAATACAAATTGAGTGCATATTCTTGATTGCTTTATAATTTTCTAGCTGGCAATATAAATGAAAAAGTCCATGGGCGTTTGAGAGTGATAAGTGTCACATTGTAAGAACAATGATATTGAGCAAATATTCTGCATGAATTTTTTCAACTGGTTAGTTATTAGTTCTTGTATTAAGGCTTCAAAACTGATAAAGAATGTAAATGCAAAGTAATGCACAGCAGAAATAATAATCCTAATTCTACATGCAATTAGTTCTTACCTCTCAAGAAAGATCTGGGAGTCGTCATGAATATTTTTCCGAAAACATCCATACCATGTACAGTGGCAGTCAAAAAATCTAACAGCATATTTGGAAACAGATGAAGTATCGTAATTCCTCTGTATACATCCATGTTACACCCATACCTTGAATGCTAAGATCTGGTCACCCCATCTCAAAAGAGATATATGGAAATTGAAAAAGCTACAGAGAAAGACAACAAAATGATTAGGGGTATGGAGCAGAAAATAAAGAAGGCTGGGACTTTTCAGCTTGGAAAAGTGATAGCTGAGGCAGAGGTGGGAGTGGGGCCTGGACCCATTCTGGGCACCACCAAATATTATACAAACTTGCTGCCTCTGCTCACAGACATGTCCCCCGTTCTATGTTGCGGAGAGCAGCGAACAGCAGCAGCTCTTGCTACATCTTAAAAACAGCTGCAGTCTGCTTTTCCACCATTGATCTCCTGCCACTGCTGGCCAGAGGGAAGTGCTCTGGCTAGCTCCTTCCATTTCTCCTTTTGGTTGCATCCCTGACAGCACTAGTGCCTCCTAACCTGCTGCTGCTCCTCAGCATCTGCCCCATATTATGGCTGCCTTCTGTATTGGGGAGCTGTGTGTTGGAATGGGCTCCCTGCACCCTCTCTTGCTTCCCCCATATGGCTGCTGGGATTTGGTACGTCCCATTTTGGCCCGGAAAGTACCTATTTTTGGCTTTGTCCTAGCCAACCTGACTTTAAACACACACACACACACACACGCACACACACACCATTTGTTCCTGCTTCCCCCCCAGGTAGTTATGTCACGTCACAGGTGGGATGGGGTGGTCATGTGACTGGTGCCGCCTCTGTGTCCCTCCCCAGCAGTTGCCTATGGTGAACTGCAAAAAAATGGAGCAGCCAATTCCCAGAGCTGGTATTCCAGTACTTAAATTGACCAAGCCAGCATAAAACAACTTCTATAACACCCTACTGGTTAGCCAGAAACCAAAACACAGTTCCCTTAACCAAAGCAACCTAGCCTTTGGCATCCATCTAAATATCCAAGTCAAATAAAGTTCTGCCAATCCCAAAGGATTAAACACATTACCTCCCAAGTCAATGAATATTTCAGCTCTTGCCCCAAATACACACTTAGAACCAATTCATATTAACTAAGTTAATATTTATTACAATAGAAAAAAAGGGTATTGCTTAAAACAGGTCAGCACACATACCAACATAAATACAGCTTTGAGATCAGATTCATAGTAGAGATGTGGAGTTTTGTAGTTCCAAAGAGTTCTTACAGAATTAGTCCCTAGGTTATAACCCAACGCCTATATTCAGGGTGATCCATATGGAATGGGAGTTTCGTAAAGCTTTCCCTGATCAAGCATCAAGAAAAGCTGATATAAAAAGAATCAGGCCCCAAAGGTCTTTATACAATCCCAGGCTTCTCTTCACAGTTCAGAGTCTTTAGGCAAACAATAGGCAATCATGGAGATTTATTTCCTAAGTATTACTGGTAAGTAGCTGCACAGATTAGCATAAGGCAATTGCCCATTTCCCATCATTTGGCAATGATTTGCTATACACTTCAAAGAGAGATGAACAGAGTATAGACTAGAATCATTTGGCTACATTGTTAACCTCTAACAATGTATACATAAACACTCAAAACCAGAAACCTCATCTATCAGTATATCCTGAAAGACTGAATTTTGGTAGTTTATCCTGCAGGATACTTAACCCATTCTTGGCCACGTGTCACAGATCATATTAGTGTGCCTACACATACGTAACATGCTATAAATATCTCTTACTGACTTACAAGTCTGCAGACCAGTGTCATATTTACCTTCTGGGCTGATGAATGCTTTGATTTTGTCCACTCACAAATGACATCCTACAACCACCTCAATCCCATTGCAGCCTTGTGATTCATGTAGGTTAATGGATCATATAATTTCTACTTCACAAGTCCTATCCCACTGTGATAAGTGATCAAGAAAAAACTGTGTGTATTCAAAGTCACTGTAGCTACCCAATGGAGAGGTGTAAGGGAGTTTTACATAATTCTTTCTCTATTATATGCCTGTTTTCTGCATGCCTGCAAAGTTAGTCCGGTTTTCATGGCTTCTTTTTCTTTCTGAGGTAACTAACAATTAGATTCACCTGCTATAAGTTTCAAATTGTGTTTAAACTGCCTCCTTTGAAGATCAAATTTGGCTTAGAAATGGAACCTTTTATCATAAACATTGTAACAGGCTTCTCAAGTGGATGAATAATTTGGTCTAGATCTAAATTATAAAGTCATATTACATGAGAGAAATGTGAGTTGTTTTAGAGTTCTTTCTATATAAAACAATTCTTGCAATTACTTACAGCCTTTTCACTAGCTGCCTTAAGAATAGCTAAATCCAAGAATACACTAAAAAAGTCTTTAGAGAAAAAAGACCTCTAGAAAACTAGAGTGCCTCTTTCTCAGACTAGCTCTGAAGCAGGAAAACATTCTTCACTGTGAAACCCGCTATGGCTTTTGTGGTAACATAAATTTTACAATAATATTTGTTTTTGTTTTTATTGTGGTTTTCTAATACCATTGTTGCTCTTCATCATGTGCTGTACTCCAATACAGTGGCCAGGAAAATTCTATTTTGTGTTCTAGTCTTCTCTTAAAAGCTCTGTTTTTTGCTCTCTTGTATGCCCATACTTGCATATTCATGGCTATCTACACTGCAGTAATATATTTGATCCAGATCAGTAATTGCACGGTATATGATTGTGTGTGTGTGTGTGTGTGTGTGTGTGTGTGTGTGTGTGGTTCCTAATATTTTGGAAATTAAAGCAGGCAGAGAAGTGTTGAATTGTTTATAGTTTTAAACTGGGGAAGGTAGACAGAAGAACATGAGAACGTACCATGCCAAAAAGTCACAGAGCTTAATTCAACTCTGTGACAGTGTGTGTGACTCTGATCCTGTAGTGAGTCCAGCCAGCTGGAGGTCCCTTAACTTAAATGGGGCTTTTGGTAGATACAGGGGATCTTCTGAATGGGACAAAACCAACATGCTGAATCAGGGCCCGAATCTGGAGCAACTCCACTGAAGTCACCAGAGCCTTACTAGAGATAAATCTGTGTAAAGGAGAGCAGACTGCACCAGTGGGTTGACTGTTCCACTGAAGTAGGAAAGTAAATTACAGGAATGATTCTGGAGGTGCAGCTGACTGGACAGGAATGAGGTGAGGTGCCCGATATGCTGGCTTAATAACATCACCTCCTTGTGTGTGGTATAGAGTCAGTTTGATGTAATCAGGGCTGATACAATGTGTAGATACTGCACTAACAGGGCCGTCCCTACTGGTGCCTTACACGGATGGGGAGCAGGGTTGCCAACTCTCCTGGAACAGATGGACTGGATGCCATTTAGTGTAGTGATTGAGCTGGCAACCTGGAGCCAGGCTGGAGAGAAGCAGCACTTTTAAGGGGGAAAGTGCCACTTCTCTTTAGCTGCCCAATGTGCAGCTCCCCCTGCTCAGGGGGCAGCTCTCCTTCTCCTGGTGAGCAGGGGCTGGGCTCTGAGGCCTGGAAGGAGGGGGGATACCAGACTGGCGCTGAGTGGGATGAGGGGAGCAGCCAGAATATGAGGTGGGGCAGTTGGACAGGCACTGAGTTGGGCGAGCAGGGGGACAGCTGGGGGCTGAGGTTGGGGATGGT